CATAAGTGAGTTACTTGATGCACACTAGAGGGAGCCACTGGCTCGAGAAAGTTTAAGGATAGAGATGAGAAATAAAAAACTTAAGTATCATAATATTTTTTATAAGTTTTTAGGTTTTATAATTTTTTTGTATTTTATATTTTATACTTTTTTTTGGTTTTTATAAATTTTTTATACACAATACAAACACTAAAGCAAAAAGCGGAAAGGAAAGAGTTTACGATTAATAGGCTCATTGGCATGTGGCTTGTGTAGGATAGTGCAAATAATAAAATGTGAACGCGTTGAAAAATATTCATAGGCAGATTTTAAAAATCTGCGGGAGATGTGATTCTATGCGAACAGATTGATAACTTTGCTAGAAGGTCTTGAATGCAGGTAGTGATGGTGATAAGGCAATTATATGGCAGCTCGCTGAAGAGACGTCCTTCCTTCATGGCGCGGGAGCTGGAACTGATGTTGAGAGGGCGTGTCTTGCCCTTTTGGATGGTGGGTAGATGCCGAACTCTCGGCCAATCACGGCTCTTGGTCTCTTCTGTGAGCTGCGAATAGCAGGATCGTATGCTGGCATCTGTTGAAGTGCTCGGTTATCAATCTGTTCAATTTTAAGGAATAAATTTTGACTATGTTTTTTGATAAGATAATCCACAGGTTTAATGTTAAGGTCCGAATGAATCACATCTGTACGGACGTACCAGGCTGCATTTAGGGCCATACGTAAGGTTTTACTTTGAAAAGATTGAAGTTTTTTTCACATGAGTTTTTGCAGCAGCAGTACCCCAGATTGTACATGCATACATAAAGACAGGTCTTATAATTGATGTATAGAGAAGGATTTTGTTTTTAATTGACAGATTGCTCTTTCGAGCTAAAAATGGGTAAAGTTGGGCTCTAGCACCTTTCACTTTGTTGAGAACATTTTCAATGTGAAGGCGCCAGGTTAATTTTGAATCAAGTACAACTCCTAGGTACTTGTAAGAATTTGACCAGGGAACATAGTCATCAAAGAATTTAATATTAATGGAAGGGTACGGGAGGGGGCTACTTTTGAATATCATAGCAGCACATTTAGCAACATTAATTTTTATTTTCCAAGTGATGAGCCAGTGCTCAAGGCTAGAGAGATAATCTCTGAATGATTTGGACCAAGTTTTCAAGGCGTTTGTGTTGAGCTAGGATGGCCGTATCATCTGCATAAAGTGCAAGAGTGATACTAGGTGATTTTGGTATGTCATTTATGAAAATGTTGAACAAAATTGGGCCTAAAAGTGACCCTTGGGGGACGCCGCTTAGTATAGGACGGGGTGCCGAAATGAAAGAATTAACTCGTACAGAAAAAGATCTATTAGTGAGGTACGAATTAATTATATGAATTAAATGGGCCGAAACGTCAAGTCGTATGAGCTTGATAATAATTCCTATGTGCCAAGTCCTATCAAATGCTTTGGCTATGTCAAGAAATAAAGCGCCAGTAAGCATTTTGTTACGAAACCCTTCGTGAATGAACTCCACTGTCCTCAGCAGCTGGTGCGTGGTGCAGTGTTTTGCTCGAAATCCAAATTGTTCATCAATCAGAACGCTGTGATTTCGGAGAAAATCATTTCAGGCGTTTAAGTAACACAAACTCGTATATCTTAGATAACGAGGATAGGAGGCTGATAGGTCTATAATTTTGAGGGTTAGAAAGGCTTTGGCCTGGTTTTGGAATAGGCACAATGAGTGCTTGTTTCCAGCTTTGAGGGAAAATAGCAATGCTGTATCATAAAATTTATAAGCATTACTAAAGAAAAATAGATAATTGATGGGTAAATTTTTAATCATACGATTAGAAATAGAGTCCATACCAGGGGCTTTTTTGGGTTTGAGCTTGGTAATGTATTCACTTACCTCGCTCATGGATGTATAGTGTATTTCTCTCGCGAAAGGCGAGGAGAGGAAACGTTCAACATCTTGTGGGAAAGAACTTGCGCTGTTCGCAAAAATTCCTTCATTATGTGGTGTAAATTGAGTTTGAAGAGAATCCGCAATTAATTCGGATTTCTCAGCGTCTGTGCGAGCCACCGCTGCGTCCGTAGCTAAGGACGGAATGTTAGATTTGTGTTTGCGTAGGCGGGCTGATGCGCGCCAAAGACTGTTATCATTGGTCGTTAGGGACTGAATGTAATTCGTGTATTGTGATTGGAAGAAATGGTCACATGATGCCTTGATCTCATTTTGGAGAGCACGGAGTTGAATTTTTAATCCTGGATTTCTATTTCTTTGCCAAAGTCTCCGTACTTTATTCTTTTCTTTAATTTTGAGTTTAATTTCTTGAGGTAATTTACGAAAATAGGGTCTAAGGGTGGGTTTTGATACTTCCTTATAAGTATCTGTTAAAATGGTCGTTAAGTGATCAACTGCCAAGTGTATATCATGGCTGGATTTAATTTCAAGGGAGGGCAAATTTTTACTTTTAAGTTTGAAACGAAAATTGTCCCAGTTTGTAGAGACGAGTGCCGGAGAATTTTGATTAAAAATAGTACAGTTAAAGGTCTATGATTACGGGGTTGTGATCTGAAGATAAACAGTTTTCAACAGTCACGTGATATCCAAAAGGGATGTTTCGAAAGAGTGCCAAATCAATGAATGAAGGGGCACCCCGTGAACCATATCTAGTAGGGGAATCCGGCGCAATAATTTTAATTTGGGCGCACTGAGCCCATTTTAGAAGGCCACGACCAGCAGGGTTTGATCTATGACAACGCCAATGCTGATGGTGACAATTTAAATCACCAGCTATGATTAGATTGTTGGATAAGGTGAGCAATTTGTTAAAATCAACCACAGGTAAATTTCCACCTGGTGGAAGATAGGCAGAGATCATTACAAGGGAGGGCGAATTTTGAATGAAAATTTCAATGATTGTTGCCTCGAGTTTACTCATACTCGGAGTGTCAATTCTTTTGTGTGGTATTGAATTTTTAATATAGACACAAGTGCCACCATGATAAACATCACGAGTATTAGAAGCTTGTCTGTCATTTTTATATAATGCATAATTTGCAAGCTTGGGAGCTCTTCCTGGCTGGAGTTTGGTCTCTTGGACAAAAATAATGTCAAAATCTTTCTCTTCCACATAGTCTTTAAACTCATGGAATTTGGATAGGATGCCATTAGCATTCCAGGTGCATAGTTTTAAGTTTTTCAATCCTTTCAAAGTATTGAATTTTACTGTCTGGGGATATCAGAGAATTGGAGAGTAATATAACTCTCAAAGATGTAGTATGCCGCGTCAGCACCAGATGGAGCCACTCTGAGCTGCGGTAAGGCATTTTTGAATGCCAAAAGAAGTCTGCTCTGGTCAATACCAGGCTGGTTTGAAATTTGAATAATTGCCAAAAGGATTTTCGGTGCAATTTAGCGTCGAATTAGCTCCTAAGGGGACCGATAAATTTGGAAGAATTTGGGGTGCAGCTTGTTGCATACCCGTAAGTGCTGCGGAGAAAGAAACTCCAGGGCGAATATTATTTGCACTGGGTGTGGGTGCAGCCGACAGTGTTGGAAATTGGATGTTGTTTTTGAGATTAATTTTGTCTGCGTTGGTTTTTTCAGTGGTCAGGCTGGGTTTGGTGCTCGGTTTCGGATTTGATCTATTTTTTGAACCCGGGAATCTTGGGCAGGAACGCCAGTTAGCCGCATGATTTGCGGAGCAGTTTTCACATTTATTAGGTTCTTCAAATGGTTTCGGGCAGTCTTTGGCTTGATGTGGACCAGCACATTTCACACAGCGTCTTGGGAGCGTGCACACTTCGGATGAGTGAAAGAACCCTTGACAGCGCCAGCACTGTGAAGGGCCTTTCTGACCTTTGAAATGCTCCATGGCAACTTCCCAGTAGTTCCGTGATGTTGTATATTTCATCTGCTTTCAGGCTATTGTATATCTGTAGGTAGAATAAGGGCATTGGCATCTTGGTTTTCCATCTTTTGAGCTGTGAGATTTTATGGATTTTGAAACCGAGGACTTCCACCGCAGTCTGCACAACACTGAGTGGTGTGTTTGAAGGTAATCCCCTAATAACTATTTTAAGTGGTCTGTCTGATTTAAGAGTGTGTGATTTAAATTCTATGTTATTGTCAGTTAAAAATCTTACGACAGTCCGGTAATCAGTTTCATTTAAAGTGTTAAGTTTGAGAAAGTCAATATCCTGTTTTGATTGGACTGTCGGTGCATGACGTTTAAGTTGGTTTAGAAGAAAGTACCAATCAGCACGAGGCTTGATAAAAATTGGTGGAGGTGCCTGTACTTTTGGTTTTTGGGTGTCTGCCGGCTGCTGAGTAGTATGTTCTGTATTGTCAGTATTTGTTTGGATAACATTGAAAGAGTTTGGAGTAGCTATGTTGTTATTATTTTCAGTAGAGATGTATTTGGTTTGGGATTTTTTAGCTATTAAGTGTTTTGGTGGTATGACAAACCCTTCAGCATCAGTAGGGCGAGTACGTTTCTTATGATCAGATTTTGGAGTTTCTAGTGGGGTTTTAGGGTTTTCAGTAGGGGTGGTTTTAGGAGAATTTGGAGTGATGGGTTCCGAAATATTGGGTTTTGAAGATTTGGCCTGACATTCTTTAAAGAATTCGTCTTCTGTGGCAGGGAGGGTAAAGAGGTTAACTCCGAGGTTGGTACATAAAGTGTGAAGTGAAAATAAAATTCTCTCATCCTCGTCAGTCATCTGCTTGATCATCAGGTCCTTGGAGGGATTATCAGAACGCTGAAGTCTCTGGATGTCGAATAGCAAGTCCGTATGACGATTTTTCAGTGCGTAGATTTGGATTGCACTTTTCGATAGTTCCATGGCTGAAGGAGTGAAGGAGGAGCAGTGGTGTCCATATCAGTATTAATCCGTAGTTGAGCAGAGGCAGCGGTAGAAGTACCAGCTGGCGGCGCCGTATTCGTGTTTCCGTTGTTGTGCAGGAGCTCTGAGCTCTTACGACCATCACTTTCTTCGTCCATGACGAGAATCCCAATGACTGTCAGAGTACAGACAGTTGCACGCCGTTCTCTATTGTTCAAAGAATCGTGAAATGGTAGAAAATTCCTGTGCATTCAGTATTCTTTTCCTTCCACCCAAATACTACACATGTTTGAATTTCTATCGAGATTTTAATAATTTGCATTCTCGTTCCGTGGGGTCAGTTCATATTCACATTTTATATGATCGTTATGCTTATATGTATGGATATTTATGATAATATAGTTGCAGTAACTGCTGAAGTATAGATAAACTTCCAAAAATGCATAAGTGTGTTTTAACACAGATTAGCTTTCTAAGGAATAATATTCGGAATGGCCTAAATAAAGGTAAAGTAATCAAATGGTAAAAAAAAATTTTTTTCTTAATTTATTTTATATATATATAAAATTTTTTAAAAATTTATTATATATATATATTTGCCAATACAGTACGGAGGATGGGAGGTTTTTTCCTTCTCCACAAAATCTCTAATGTTAAAACCATTACAGTTCGCTGCAAAACAAGCAACAGACTTTTTTTGTCACTTTCCGATATGGATTGAAAAGGACTAAACTATCTGCGGTCTACTAACCCAAGCAAAGAATGAAATCTGTTACGGAAATTTAACACAGTCTGTTCAAAATTAGAATGAAAAACACCCCAGAAAGAAAGTCTCTTTCTTTTTCTTTATTTAATTCTTTATCCACCGAATATCAGGAGCTGTTGATTCCGATTGCATAATATCACGCATGGAAGAATTATGGCGCACGTATTGTGCAATAATGTTTGTGATATGTTGCAGGGATAATTAATTTTGATGTTCAATCTCAGATTTGTTTATGAACACTTAAGAGCTTTACTGTGCTTGCTAAGCAGAATATTTTTCAGTTCTGTTGGTCTATTTTTATATAATTTGCATATCAAAAGTATTTATTTAGCTGAAAAATCTGAAGAACGGCTACAATCTACCCCTTATCCCGATCCTCTTTTTCCAGTTACGCTCGACTATCCAGAATATTCGAAAGTTTCCGAGTATTCAGGTTAGTTAAGCTTTTATTGTTAAAGGATGACCGCATGAAGCAATTTCCCCATCTTCTGATTTCAGAAATGTACCTCTTTTTTACTTAAATTACTTTGCTTGCAATATGTGTTAAGGGAAAACTGTTCTACAATGAAAATTTAGAAAATGTTCAGAATTTTTAAGTTAAATTATTTAAATATTAATATGAGTAAAAAAATAAATTGTATTTATTATTAGGTACCAAGCGAATACAATAAATATGGTTTATTATTTATTTTCTCTATTTTGAACTGAAATTTTGTCATTAAATCTTGTAATATAGTTTAGTTCTGCATAGTTTTTCTTTCATTGTAAACACGTTCTGTAAATTGAACTGTTGTTTAAAATTTAAAAAAAAAATGTAATTGTTTTCCTTGGTTGAGGTAATGCTCATTCTCTCTTAATAAATACTGCATTGCTCAAATTTTAAATTGCAAGTCTAATTTTTCTTTTAAGGTTATGCAGTTGTGTATAATGTAATTAGACAGGTGCTTATTTATTTATTTATTTTTTTTTTCTTAAAATGTGCTTGAAAAGTGCTTATCTTTTTAACTAAAATGTGGCTACGAGCCCTGATACAGATTTTTTATTCTTAGAATGGTGTTACAAAACTGAAGTTTGGGTACAGATTATTGCTTTAGTTTAATTCAGTAACCCTTTGCTGATAAAGCCGTAATTTTTTTCTGTTAAACTGATGTATATTACAGGTAGATTGTGAGGAGTTTCATGTGTACTTAGCTTTTTTTTTTTTTTTTTTTTTTTTTGTTGGAAAGAGCTCTAAAAGCAATATCTGAAATTTTACGGATTTCCATATTATTATGGCACTTGGTATTGAAGTGGTGCCTTGAGTTCTCTTGTTAACTGACTGCTAAATGGCAATCACATTCTCATCTGTTAAATGTACCATTTGCATAAATTTTATGTTCAACAGCTGGAAATAAGATTTCCATTTTGCTTAAGCACAAAATATTTATAGTTCTTAAACACAATATTGCTTAAAGCAAAATATTTATATAACTACAAATATTTATAGTCTACCTGTCACAAGTTGTGGCAGATGGACTATAAATATTTGTTTATCCTGTGGCTTGATTGGCTAAATTCTGAGAATTACGGCAGTGAATTAATGAAAGGGTTCTTGATGTTGTTTAACATGTTGAGCCCGGTACTGAATTTTCTATCCTTTCTGTTGAGCCGGTAACCACCAGCTTGCTGGTTTCAGTTCAGCTGGTTATCTTGGTAACAAAATCGGCTTAATCCAGATTGGTAACAAAATGTTACCAAAATAGTTGAAATTAAGCCATTGGGAGAAATTCTTTTATTTTCTTTTTCGGATCTTGGATGTCTTTCACTAAAAACTAAATCTTGCGTGAAGAGATTTTGCAGCACTCTCAAGTGTGCCATTACCTTTGTTGCTTAAGTTCAACCATTTATCCATGGTTAAAAAATATTTTAATTTGAAAATTTAAAATCTTTAAATAAGTATTCAAATAAATACCAATCTTTATTGAGCAACTATAAAATATGATATTGTATTCTTGCTGTGTAGAAACGTGTTGCAATGAAACAGTAACATGTCCAATCTGTAAAGTGTTATTACTTACATTAGTAGCAACGTTGCCAACCGTATTCTCGCCACAATTGGGGGGAGATGCAGAACATTGTATTGTCCATAGAATATTTTCTAGGCAAATATGCAAGTTCTAATGAAGTCAGAATTAAATTTTTTTTTTTTTTTTTTTTTTTTAATGGTGGTAACAAGATTGTTAAAATGTGTGCAGTTTGGAAGTAGTTTTACTGATGATGTTTAGGTTTATCGGTACAGTATTTTTTAATGAAGACGTTAATAAAGTATTTACTGCTAAGAAAAATTGTTTTATCATAACATTATTTTAAAATGGGGAGTACTATTATGGCTTGATATCTTAAGGGGCAGCCTCTGCTTCCAGAAGTCCCCCCCCTAAAATGTTATGTACTTGTGTTAAGTATGAAGTGCATGTTTTATAATGTTAAATTTTTGGTCTTGATAGGGAGTCGGACGAAGATTTTCCAATCTGGTTTGCAAAAAGGCTGATGTTGACTTGAATAAAAGAGCAGGTGAACTTAGTGAAGAGGAGGTTAGTATTTGTACAATACGTAAAATATTTTCTTTTCCCTGTTATTGGTTCCTATTGCCATGTTGTTATCAAATTTCAATGTATTTTTTAATGCTAACTCGAAATATATTCATGTTTTATGTAGAAAGAGGCATGGACAGTGAGCAAATCATGAGATTAAAAAATTCAGATAAAAAGAATATCAGTTGTGATGCAGTATATAATTTATCACTTATATTTATTTCTTAGATGGTGCCACCGGAACACTTCTTGAATATAAAAATACAAATACAGTACAAAGTCCGTAATCCGGGCTCGTCAGGAGTTCAGCGATTCCGGATTAAGATCATCAATTTAAATCTGGTAGGATGGCCTGCAGAAATTATACAATTAAAAATATGAAACCGTAATTTATGAAATAAAGAGCAATCAAGATCTAAAGGGTATTAAAATTTACACACAAAAAAAAAAGCTGAATATTTATTTGTTTACTTTATTAAACATTTCTTTCAAGTTGTTTAAGTTGCTTCGTTTTTCGTGCTAAACATGCATGCGTAAAGCATATCAAAAAAAGTTTGTGCCTTCGAGGTTCGAATTTTAGATCATTCCAGATAATGGATGTCCGGATAACAGACTTTGTACCGTAATTACATAAAAAAGGATTTTTTAATTTGTTAACCTGTTTAATTTTTATTTCAGATAAATTCCTTTCAGTTTTACAAAACAAAAGCAGGAGTGGTATAAAAGCTGTTTCTATGATTCATTAAGCCATATCCATTACAAGTGTTGCTTTTTTTTTTTTAATGAAAACACATTTTTTCCCTGTACCAAAGCTGAAACTAAATAAACAACTTTTCTTCCTTATATGGATCATCAGATGGTGATTCATACTCCCAGAAATTGCTTTTCGCCCCTTTCTCTGCATAACATACATAACCTTTGTGCGCAAGTACAGACAGGTGCACATCGTTCTATTGGTCAAAGAATTGCGAAAGCGGTGGAAAATATTCTTTTGCTCCCACCCAATACTACACATGTTTGAATTTCTATCAAGATTTTAATAATTTACATTCTCGTTCCACATGGTCAGTTCATATTTGCATTTATTATGATCGGTATGCTTATATATAAGCATATGTATGAATATTTATAATATATTTACAGTAACTGCTGAAATATAGATAAACTTAAAAAATGGGTGTTTTAACACTGATTAGTTTTCTAAGGAATAATATTTAGAATGGCATAAAGTAAAAGTAATAAAAGAGTTAAAAATTTTTTTTTTTTTTTTTTTTTTTTTTTTTTTTTTTTTTTGCCATTGCATTAAACAGTACGTACGTTGGGTCTTCTCTCCCCTTTCTCCACAAAATCTCAAATATTGAAACCGTTACAGTTCGCAGCAAAGCAAGGAACAGACCTTTTATCACTTTCTAACCTGGATTGAATAGGACTAAAAGTTCTGCGGTCAACCATTCCAAGCAAAGGATGATTCTATTCCACAAATTTAATGCAGCCTGTTCAAAATTAGAATGAAAAGCACCTCATATTGGTAAATCTCTTTATTAATCAATATGAGTGTAGTATGGATATTGCGCGGAGCGGCGACATGTCCTGCTCAATGATAAATATGCCACATGGGCGCATGAGGGTCCGAATAACGGCAGCTGTTGATTCTCATTGCATAACAACACATGCGGAAGAATTGAGGCTCGCGTATTGTGCAATAATGTTTGCCATATTTCGTGGAGATAAAACAGTTTTCTGTGCTTGCTAAGCAGACTTATTTTTTTAGTTCCATTGGACTATTTTTATATAATTCACATATCAAAATGTCAAAGCATTATTTAACTGAAAAATCTAAAAAACAGCTACTATCTACCCAACTTTCCTCTTTTACCAGTTATGCTTGACTATCCAGAATTTTCAGATATTCGGCAATTTCCGAGTGCCGGTTACTTAAGCTTTTACTTTTAAAGAATGACTGCATGAAGCAATTTCCTGCCTTCTGATTTCAGAAAAGTTTCTTTTTTTTACTTATTTTTACTTAAATTACTTTGCTTGCAATATCTGTTAAGGGAAAACTGTTATACAATGAAAATTTAGAAAATGTTCAGAATTTTGATTTAAGTTAAATTATTTAAATATTAATAGGATTGGAAAAATAAATTGTATTTATTTTTAGGTGCCAAGCTAATATAATAAATATGGCTTATTATTATTTATTTTCTCTATTTTAACTTAAATTCCATCACTAAATCTTGTAATAAAATTTAGTTCTGGATAGTTTTTCCTCCTCTCATTGTAAACTAGTTCTGTAAATTGAACTGTTATTTAAAATTTTAAAAAAATAATGTAATCGTTTTCCATTGTTGAGTAATTCTCATTCTCTCGTAATAAATATTGAATTTCTCATATTTTAAATTACTAATTGTCTAATTTTTCTTTTAAGGTTATGCAGTTGTGTATATGTAATTAGACAGGTTCTTATTTTTTTTCTTAAAATGTGCTTGAAAAGTGCTTATAGATGCTTATTTTTTTAACTAATGTGGCTACGAACCCCGTTTGAGATAACGTGGAGCATTTTACGATGTGGTACTCCACATTCCATTAGTTTCGTAATTGAGTAATAGCTTCATAAAATAAAAATTTCACAGTCTTTCATATTTAAACATGCAATAAACTGGCAGGGGACAAAATAAATTAAAACAACCAGTTTTAGTGGTGCCATTAAAAAATAATTCAAACTAAAAACAAGAGATCGTATACTTCATCATTACCAAAAAATCTTCGTATCTGTAGTAGATTACAGATGCTTTAAAAAGGACAACATTCCTGGTTTGTTGTATATATAATTAACCCATTCACGATGGGCATCTCTGTTACTGGAGCATTGTCTTGGGATAGCATGTTAACCGGATGTATCGTCTTGCGGGGACTGGCATCTAAGCTTAACTTTAGAAAAAAATTCGTATAAATTAAATTTTTCATCTAATTGTTCCAATTTTTGGTACGAGAAGAATATTCAGGTAGTTATCAGAATTAATTTTAAAGCTTTATTATTATATTTTCCTTAAATTTTATAAAATAATCATTCTAGAATAATATAATTTTCCCCTTATCTCACAAATAAATATATGTGGAAAAATATCCAAACAATTGCAGATTTTATTTAACACATCACACAATTAAAGTTAAAAAATATTAAAACTGTCTTTCATAAAAATTTAACGAGCAAACAACGAAAAGTAAGCATATTTCAAAATGAGACAATGTACAATATTCTTTGAAACATGGGTTTAGGCAAAGTCCAACATTGCATGCGTCGGTGACATGCGTCTACTAAAATTTGCATAAATTTTTTACCACTCCTTGGTGTTGCATTTTCAATGTCGAGCACTGTAAAAAGTACCTCAATGCAGCGATAACACATGCATTTGTTTATATGAAATAAACAAATGCCCGACCGTAGAGTGAACTAAATGGTGATTCAGATATGGCACACCCGGCCGTGAGATAACATTTGCTGCTGCTGCATATATGACACGCCCATACTGAACAGTTAAGGGATGCATTGATAATACAGTACAAAGTCCAAAATCCGGACGTCCAACCTCAAAACCACCAACGTTTTCTCATAGGCTTTATGCATGCGCATTTGATTCCCCCCCCTACGCACATAATAAAACATCTTGAGATTCCCGATTCTTAATTTCACTTAGACACAAAATAAAATGCCTTGTTGAAGAAATAGTCATTTTAGCATAAATTTGTACAATTAGTAATTTGGCTCCGTTGCTGCGCTGCGCATCTGCTAGGCACACATCGTTGATTTGACACCAACCCAGGAAATCATTAATTATTATACTTTCTTTTCATGACAATTTCTTTTATCAAACCCCACCAGCAGCCGAGCGATAAAGCCGCTGAACACTGGTACTTCGGTCCAAGGTATGAATCCCGCAAAGGGGCTGGCTGCATGGGCATTTTCGTGGTCTTCCCCATGCGTAACGTGTATATGAGCCAGTTTCCCTTAGAAAGTCCTCCACAAAGGCATACCTCCCTTTAGACAGATACCTTTCATGTGCTTTGCCGTAATTGAATAATCCAATCTTTTATCAAAACACAACAACTCGAGTAATGATACATGTAGTGATGCATTAACATTTTTTTTATGTTGGTAATTGAATAATAAAGAAGTATGGTAACCTTTTATGTTAACATTACGTTTGGCGATGATTACAGATTTAAGTTAAATGCATTAAAAAATGCTGACTAGGAAAAATTTACCAAAAATTTCTTTCCATGTGTTAAAAATACATTTTGTTGATGATACTCATAGACCCATAGACATTTAGGGCTATTTGAATTAAGAATAACTGATTTGTTTTATTCACATAAACTCAGAACCAGCACCAGGGCTCGTATGGCCGCACCGGGTCGCAGAACTAAGGACCCACAGAGACTGCATCAGGCGGTAAGATATCTAGTGCCTGCCCTCAATAAGTATATGTGGGAATTTATTTATTCAGAACTCTGATAAGCCTTAAGCATGTGCAAGAAATACACATGAGTATAATAAATAACTAAACTAATATAATTCAGGCCTAATTGTCTCTGTGTGCGATAGAAGCAAGATCAAATTTAACAGAACAACTTGTCGTGTGAAGGATAGCTAAATGTAATGATCCGCTAATTTTAAAGGTTTTCAGATATCACAAAACAAAGGTGAAATTTTCCAATTAACGAATTTTGTAAAGAAATGGTAATAAATGAAGATATAAAAAGTTTTTCATTGTGATGACAATTGTTCTCAATCATCAATCAAATATCCTAGTAAACAACTTCAAATTTGTGGAGGAAAATTAAACATTAATTTTTCTATAAATACGAGTATGGTATTCGTATAAATTGGTAACCATTTTTTTATGCAAAACTGCTGTAGGAAAAAGTATCAAATTTAATTTAGTGTGATTTGAAGTGTTAACTATTGGTAACACTGCAGCAGGTATGAAAGTTTTCCGCTTTTTTGCGGAATTCCGCTTTTTTGAATGTCACCCCGGCTGTTTCTGAGATCAAGCTACGAATGCCAGAAATTGCAAAATACAATGTTCCACATCAAGGTGAAGTAGGTGGGGCTTATGTGGAAAGGCGGAACTAGATGCATACGAATATCGAATCAAAGAAGAGCAAGCAACCATCAAACAAAAGCTGTCTTCAATATTTTCAGCAATCAGTGCTGGCGCCATCTGTCGGACATACGGATAACTTCTTGCATTCTCCAGTACATAAAACTAAAAATTTAAGGAATGCTCAAAAACAGTACAAAGAAGAGCTAAAGGAGCAAGAATCTAAAAAAAAAAAAAGCAATTAAACATTGCAGAAAATAAAGAAGAAAATAAAAAAAGTATCAATGGATTGAATAAAAGCTGCTGAAAAAAAGTTGAGACTAGCTCGCAAACGGAAATTAGAAAAATTAGCTGCAAAAGTAGCAAAAAAGGAGAAGTTTTTCCCTAAAAATTTTTAATCAGGAATTAGTGAGATTGAGACAAAATAGTTATTTTTTATAATCCTCCTTTAACTATATGTTATTTTGTAACTATATTATGTCATATGACTACTTTTTCTGGTGTTATATAAAGTACTGTTTATTGAACTAAAAGTGAAGATAATTGAAAGCTATAGTAACAGTTATATATATTTTTATCTCTAAAACATTTCATTGCCTGAAAATGGGCAGTAGTATATAACATAAATATGTATATTAGTGTGTTGTAATGTTGTGTACAGTATTCATGTATCAACTGCTAAGTTACATAAAGAGCATCTTAAAGAAGGTTAATTCATCAGTCTCTTTGTGATTTACTGATTTTTTTTACAAGTGGAAGATAAAATTTATAGCAAAATAGTAAGTACAGGTATTATTTTAGTTTAATTATATATATGTTTAATACTTTTTATATTAAAAGGTTGATATTTTATCAAAATGTGTTTTTGGAGGTCGCGCGTGCATATTTAGTTTTTGTGTAATTTTTTGTTTGCACGTAGTTCAGCTTTTTTTGCCTGCCCTGCAGTTAAACAACAGTTGTGCAACAGAATGGGAGAATGGTCTTTACAGGGTGTCTCAAAATGTCATTGTCAAACTTGACATGCTGCTGTGTCATACCATGACAAAGATTTACATAGAAACTTAGGTCCGAAAATGCAAGTGGTGACAGCTAGCGGGTAGTGTTCGCAAGCTAGAGAAAAAAGAAGGGATGTGAAAAAGGTGTTAGCTTGACTTTTATTAAAGAACATCGCAGGAGGTGTTCAAAATTCCTTCCGTAACAGTGCATGTTTCACAACTTCGATGCATGGATTCACGGACATGTTCAAAATGGGCAGGTGTGTCATGGACACTTCCATGATCTTGGCCACAAGATCCACGTTCAGCATTTCTGCTGTCTCGTATACCACGGATTTCATCTATCTCCCACAGGATAGAAATCCAAGGGAGCCATGTCCGCAGGGGATCGTGATGGCCATGCGACTGGTCTGCCTCTGTTAGTCCAATGATCAAGATATGTTCTTTTGAGGTATTTCCTTGCAGTGCTGCTAAAATGTTCAGGTACTTTATCATGCTGAAACCTGATGTGTCGGCATGTAGCTGGTGAAATGTCAACCATCAGATATGGTAACACACTTTCCACAAAATGTCCATAAAGAACTGAGATAGTAAATTGATTCGTCCTTCTCTTGCAACATCTTCGCTGAAATGATCCCACTTTCCAATCTCTCATAAGCCTGCAAACATTTTCCTGTAGCGTTTGCCTTTTGCATTTATGGGTGCAAGTTTGTGTATGAATCTCTGTTGTCATGGTTTGACAAACTGGCATGTTAAGTTTGGCAACGACCTTTTGAGACACTCTGTATACCATTTACATACCTTATTTACCTTGCTGATTCTACCTTTCCACTTTGGTCATAAGGTAATTATTATATGTTAAGATGAGACTAGAAGAGAAACACGCTGATGTGACAATCAAAATCGTAAAAACAACCTTATATTTAGCGTAAGTATATTGAAACACTCGATCGATTTCGAGGGCAGCTAAAGGTCCCTCCTCATCAGGAGAAAGAAATGCCTAGAAAGAAGAAAAATAAAGAGGGGAAGGAGTCTCAGAAACATGTGGTCCTTATCAGCACTGCACGTGATTATAACAGGATTTTTAATCAGAGTTACACTGGCCGCCTACTTTTACTGAGCCAGGCTATCTGATCAAACATGTAACACAAAGGACAAGAAAAATTAGCGAAGATAAAAACAGGCAGCGAGGGGCAACTGCTCCTTCATGCTCAAAATCTGAACTTCGAATAATGGAAAGAAACCACTGAACGGATTTTTATACCCTCTGGTAGTACCAAACGCGAGAAGGTAACGCCATCTATCGGCAAAAATAACTGAATTAAGATAGTAGAATTTTAAAGGCATTAGGAAGGACTGGATTGGACTTCAAATCATTAACTAAACCTGCTAAATCTTTGTGAATGTGAAAAACCTCAAGAAAATCCAATTCACCTGTGGAAGAAGCCTTTTGGATAATTTTTGCAGACCCAAAGTCAAAATTATGGTTAAATGTCCAACTATGATACGCTATTGAAGACTTGTTAATTTCGCCTTTTCTGACATAAGATTCATGTTCCTTGATACGAAACTTCAACGCTCTTTTTGTTGGCCAATATATCCCCAAGAATTCAAGACAGAAATGCAATCTTTTAGAATAAGGGTGAATTTTATTTATTAATAGGGGAGAAACAGGCTTGAAAATTGAATTTCTGGAGAATCCGTGCAATTTTACAGCTAACAGAAGGATAAAATGGAAGCACGTAAAGGTCATTAATATTATTTCTAACAGTGGAATGTCTTCTTTGATGGAAATCTGAAAATTTTTTAATGGCTTTATCAATAATCACGGGAGAAAATCCACGGTCAATCGCAACTGCTCTCAAATAATTAAGTTCATTGGTGAGTCAAGATTCGGAGGAACAAACTTTAAGCGCGCGGAATACATAATAGTAAAAAGAAGTAATTTTTTGCTTAACAGGGTGGCATGACAGGGTTCGTAGCAGTCCTTATAAGTGCTTATAAGTCCTTATATTTGAAAATAAAATATAAAGGCCCTTATAGGTGCTTAATTTTTCTTTAAAGCGCTTATTTTTTGCTTTTAGTGCCTTTTTTTTTTTTTAATGAGCGCACTATTTTTCCCCGTACCAAAGCCAAAACTAAATAAACAATTTTTCTCTCTAATATGGAATGTACGATGCTGAATCATACTCCCGGAAATAACATTTCCCCCTTTCTCTGCATTAACATAACCTTTGGTGTGCACAAAGAGTACAGACAGGTGCCCATCCTTCTATTGGTCAAAAAATTGTGAAAGCAGTAGAAAATTCCGGTACATTCGGCATTCCTTTCCTCCCACTCAAATACTACACACGTTTGAATTTCTATCAAGATCTTAGAAATTTGCATTCTCGTTCTTGCTTGGTTCAGTTTCATATTCGTGTTTATTATGAGGTTATGCTTATATTATGAGCATATGTATGAATGATTTTATAATACATAGTTGCAGTTAACTGCTGAAGTATAGTAAACTTCCAAAAATGGTTGTGTTTTAACACAGATTAGCTTTCTAAGGAATAATATTCCCGAATGGCTTAAATAAAGGGAAAGTAATCGAATAGTCAAAATAATTTTCTTTTTTTTTTTTTTTTTTTTTTTTTTTGGCCAATACATTACAGTACGAAGGTTGGGAGGTCTCCCCTTTCTCCGCAAATCTTGTTTGAAACTGCGTTTAAAAAAAACGTTTTTTTTTTTTTTTTTGTTTCCAATCGGATTGAAAGGACCAATTTTTAAACCAAGGAAAATGATTTTCTTTTTTAACTGTAAAATCTCCTGATTTTTGAGTGTCATAGGTTGGCAAGTATGGTTTTATGTGCTATTCTTGTAATTCCACACAGTAATGCTGAGTGCGAGAGATTCTTCAGTGTTGTGAAGAAAAACAAAACTATGTTTCGTTCTTCAATTTCACCAAAAACTCTAGAAAGCATTTTAATGTTATGAGAGGAAATTGTTAAATTAAATTATGAGAGAAATTTCCAAAGAATTTTTGGCTAAAGCCAAAAAATGCACTCTTAAATTCATTGCAATAATTTTTTTTGTGTAACATTAAGTTCTTGTTTTATGTTTCCTAATAAATTTTTTAGTTACTACTTAATTGAGATTTAATAATGTAAGTACAATTTTCTTTTTTTCTATTTGTATAAATTGTTATTTTTTTAATATCAAATTATGATATTAATTCTTCGTGTTCTTCTGAATTTTGGAGAAATCTTCTGAATTTTTATCTTTAGAGGTTGGCAGGTATGTATTATGTAATAATTATTCAAATTTTAACCGTATGTGAAAGTGGGCTACAGCAAAATGGGTTTGGATTATAAAAATGGAACAGGGGCTGTTCTCTTTTGTTAGATTCAACATTAAGCATTAATACAACTATTTTAGGTTGTTGAAATTATACCAAAAGTTGTGAAGTTGTACAAAATATGTGCAAGTAAGATAAGTGTAATTTTGAAGAAGCGTTCGAATAATTAAAATCAGGGTTTAGTTTGTTTAAAAAGTTTGAATTTTTTCTTTTGAATCATGTGTACACCGATTGTAGAATATTAAAATTTTCCACTGTATTTTATTGATTGTGAACTCATAGACTTTTTTATATTTTTAAGGTTGAAAAATTGATCACCATCATGTCCAATCCTAGGCAATACAAAATTCCCGACTGGTTTTTAAATAGACAGAAAGATATTAAAGATGGAAAATACAGCCAGGTAACTTCTAATGGCTTAGAAAATAAGCTTCGTGAAGATCTGGAACGACTAAAAAAAATCCGTGCTCATAGAGGACTTCGACATTACTGGGGGTAATTAAATTTTGAGTATCCTGTTGCTTTATTTTTTAGTGTTTGTTAAGATGTTATTTTCAGTTAATAATAAAAATTGCCTGAACTCTGTCAGTCATAAAAATACAGAAAGTGATTTTCTGCCAGATTCTGTGTTTTTTTTTTTTTTTTTGTTTGTTTTAATGTACAATGATAAAAATTGCCTGAACTCTTATCAGTCATAAAAATACAGAAAGTGATTTTCTGCTAGTTTCTGTGTTCTTTGTTTTATTGTACATAGAGCATTTTGTAAAATTAAACAAAAATTTTGTTATAAAAAGTTGACTAAACTACATATGTCACCAAACCATAAAAAGATCATAATAATTTTTTAGTTTTTTGCCTGTGATAAATTCTAAAGCTTAGATTTGTTTCTTTCTCTGTGAAGAACGGAAAGTGTGCAGAAATCTTCAGTAGTACTGGGATATTTGAAGGGCATCCAGTTCTTGCATTATTTGTGACTTCGTATTTTTTATTGTTTCATTGAGCTTTGGTACCTCGGGGCGAAAATCAAGTAAATTCATTCTGCCATTTAGTTTTTGGTATGGTGCAAAAAGAGTTCACAATGCCAGGTCTAAGAAATGAAAAAAGGCTTTTTTTACTACTTCTTGCCTCTCTTTCTCTGTGCTGCATAAGAAGGCAAGTGTTCAATGTGATTACCACCACCCATGGTATGGTTATAATTCAGTTCAAATGTGTGGTTTTATTCTTTTACGCATCTCTATCTCTAGCATTAATATGTGTTAATGGAGAGTTTTTTTTTCTCTCTCTCCTTGTACTTCTATGATAGAAGCAAGACCACTAAGGGCCATTCCCATTGGAGTTTATCGGAGCTCACGGAGTCAGTTCCATATGTCGACTAGCTCCACTGTGCCTGCAGTTCAGATTTTTCAACTTGCTGCCCTATGGGAAACTGGTTTTTTAGATGGGTCAGCTACATCAGTTGTGTTTGTTAGCACAGATAAACCCTAGTGGGAACAGCCCTTTAAAGTTCTTCATTGATTTTTTGAAGCATATGTAATAAACAATTGCAAGCATATCCATACTTTTTATATTGGTACGTTTACCGAGTGCAGTGCTAATTATATCGGTAGATTCATTTGACCTGTTCATCAATATTTTCAGCCAAACCTTCAATGAAACTCTGAACTGTTCTTCCAATGGAACAGTTTGCGAGTGCATTTTTAAAAAAATCAGGGTATGTAAACAGTTTTCTGTTAGTACCAACCAGTGTGCTTAGAAATACAGCAAAGCTGCTAGATATAGTGTGTTTGTAGCTGGTGTCAAAACTCTTAACACTTTATACGGTACAGAGTCTTTAATCCGGATCTCAAAGCTACAGACTTTCTGCGCATGCATAGCGATTACGAATGCGCGTTTTAATGTATAACGGACAGTATAAGCTAGGCTAAAATTATCGAATTATCTATTTCAGTTAATGTTGTAGATTGTGTTGTTCCTTAATCTTGTAATTGGATCCGGCTTATTATTTTTTCCAGACTGTTAGAGCAATTTTATAAAAAGTAAGCTTTGATTCTGTCAAAACATTTCCGATTCTGGAGCTGCCAAAGGATCTACAAAGCAAAAGCATGTTTCGATGTCCATCAAACAAAAAGTGGAATTGCTGTAAAAAATGGATAAAGGCTATCCTTTGTTTCTCTAACCATTCCGAAATCTGTTTTATCAATTTCACACTGCTTTGCGGAGGGGGGGGATAATATAAATATCATGAATACACATCAAATAGTTTTCTGGTTGCAATTTTCTAATTTTGACTATGCGTAATGTATGCTTTACGTATGTGCACGCTGAAAGAAATGTTTAATAAAGTAAACAAATATTAAGCTTTTTTTTTGTAAATTTTGATACTCTTTAGATCATAATTGCTCTTTATTTCATAAATTACGGTTTCATATTTTTAATTTTATAATGTCTGCATGCCATCTTACAGATTTAAATTGATGATCTACTATAATCCAAAAAAACTTAATCCGGAATTGCCAAAGTCCCGACAAGTCCGGATTAAAGACTTTTTGTATTGTATTATTTTCCAAAATTTACACATTTAGTAATGTACTCGGATTTTTCTTCATTTGGCATTTCACTCACATTTTTGTTGTTTAGTTCTGTAAGTAATTACATATGTGCATAAGTACATTTTAGTTTCTCTATTTTTGATACTTCCAAACATCCTGAAGTAATCTTGCTTTTCGTTTGACCATAAAAGTAAATTTTGTTTGAAATAATTATTTTGCTGCATAATTATAATTTCATCACTGTTCTTGCACTACCGATTATATATTCAGTTGTTCACCTCATATTTTAATACATGTATGTTGTATATCGTACTTTATTTTTGAAACTTAAAGTGGGTCTTCCCATAGGTTATAGCTTGCTGAGGTCTGTTCATCTAAGTGACGAATTTCAATCACTATCCATGGTAAGGTTAAATAAAAATGAATTGCAAACGTGTTACATAAACAACTATGCTGTCCCAAAATAAAACCAACTGGCTGTGATTCATTGCAAATTACTGGAATGAAAGCAGTGCCTTTTTTCTTGATAAAAACAAATGAGGCACATGCATAAACCTAATAGCTAATAAATGCATGTAGCAAGTTTTCTTGGCTGAAATTACATGGACTCAAAACCAGCTGATATTTGGCTGTATTCATGTGTGAAAATCTCTTGAGTGCTAATTTAGGTTTGTGAAAAAAAAAAGTTTTGTGTACCAAAGTTAATTGTTGAGGGTGAAACAAAGATTGGAAATAAGCTCATTTTTACAAATAAGTGATTTTTATGATTGGTTTTCTTGGATATTTTAAAAATAGGATAAGTAATTTTTTATTGCACTTCTGGCTCTCTCAATATTGAAACTAAATTATTATTTTTTTTTTTTTTCTCCAGGCTTCGTGTACGTGGTCAGCACACAAAGACAACTGGCAGGAGAGGACGAACTGTTGGTGTGTCCAAAAAGAAGGGTTAAGCTGTTACTGTAATATCTGTTCAGTGAATAAAAAAGTTCTTGTTCAGAATTATTGAGTAGTCTTTCTTTTCCAAATCAGATGTTAATTTTTATGATATTGCTGCAAAAATATCTGCCTAACTTTTAAATAAAAGGATCTGTTGATAAGTGTAACATTTCTGTGAGGGAGAATTTAAGCATTTGATTTTGGTATTCTAAAATTTCTTCTTAAAAATAATACATGCCTAAAACTTGTTTAATTGTGAAAGCATGCTTTTTGCTTATTAAATCTTTTAAGTTATGTAGTTTAAAAATGTAAGCAGCAATTTTACAAATAAGTTTGGTGCTTATCATAATTAAAATGTTCTTAGTACAGGGTAAGCGGGTTTTATAAGCTGTCTTGAATAAAGTGACCACATTTTCATTGAGTCAAAGTGGGACAAATGGAATCAAATGAAAATTATAATTTAGTTATGAAAGCAGACCAATAGTTCAAAAAATATATTTTTTATTATATACAAAACTTTAATAATTTCATTAAGTTTCGTAAAAACATTATTGATGCCTCTTCTTGCTTTTCCACCAAAATTTGCATTAGTGTCAACAATAAAATTAGTGCCTCACAACAGGCAGTATTTTTATTGTTCAATTTGTTCTTTTTTAAAATAGTACTTATTGAATCAAAAATTATTTATGAAGTTTCACCCGGCAGCTCCAGACAGTAGTGGTTAGGGGAGCCTGACTGCGATACCGAAGGGCCTGGGTTCAAATCTCTGAGAAAGTATGATTGCGTCCCTTCATAGGAGGCAATGGTGGCCCTAATAGTATAGATTAATGGACCCTGTTTAAATCTTGGTTGGAAGCATCATGATACAGTACAAAGATTAGAAATCCAGAATGATCTATAATCCGGACCTCAAAGCTACAAACTTTCTGTGCATGCGCGTTTAATGTATAACGGACGGTATAAGCTACGCTAAAATTATCGAATTACCTACTTCAGTTAATGTTGCGGATTGCGTTGTTCCTTAATCTTGTAATTGGATCTGGCTTATTACTTTTTGCAGACTGTTAAGAGTGATTTTATAAAAATAAGCTGGAACTTTCAATTATGTCAAAAAGAATTTCTGATTCTGGAGCTGCAAAAGGATCTACAAAGCGAAAGCATGTTTCGATGTCTATCAAACAAAAAGTGGAATGGCTGCAAAAAATGGATATCCTTTGTTTCTCTAACCATTCCAAAATTTGTAAGTCAAATTCCTCGTCATTATAAATATCATGAATACACATCTAATAGTTTTCTGGTTGCAATTTTCTAATTTCGACTATGCGTAATGTATGCTTTACGCAAGTGCGCGTTGAAAGAAATGTTTAATAAAGTAAACAAATATTAAGCTTTTTTTTTTGTAAATTTTGATACCCTTTAGATCATAATTGCTCTTTATTTCATAAATTACGGTTTCATATTTCTAATTTTATAATTTCTGCATGCCATTTTACGAGATTTAAACTGATGATCCATAATTCTGAATCGCCGAAGTCCCGATGAATTTGGATTGAAGACTGTACTGTATATGGGCATAAATGTGCATTTATCTAATTCTTTCTGCGATTGTGAAAACAAATAGGGTGAAAAAAACATTATAAATAATTACTACGGTTTTTGTCCTTGCACGTGCAAATTATTTGTCATACAATGTCAGAGTTGCCAACTCTCCCGATTTAGGCGGGAGACTGCCGATTTTTTACCTCTCTCCCGCCAACCCGATTTACAATATATTTCTCTCGACTTTTTCTTATTCTTAATATTTCTCATGTTTTTTATGGAATTTGGATTAATACTTTGTTATACGAACAAAAAAAAAAATGATTTTGTATGTCTGAAAGCAATTGAATTTTCTCTAGATTATATCTAAAACAAAACCTTGCAAATCAGATGATAATTTCCTTTGTGAGTGAGAGCATACGTATTCAGAAACGTTATTCTCCAATGGGCATCGAGCTCCACGGCGTGGCATATATTAGCCAATGAGCTCAAGGCTGTTATTTGGATGTTCTTTATTTGGATCTTGTCCTGAGATGTGCGAGTACACGTGCCTTCGGGAAATAGTTTTAAGAAATTATCATCTTTTGTTATGTCTGCGAGAAAGGTGAAATATTCCCGTATGTTTCAAAAATCGCAGACAGTTGACTTTCCTTCCATTATTTCCTCAAGGAAATGTAATAAATTTGTGATGTGTACCGTCTGTCGTTGCGATTTTTCGATTTCGCATAGTGGAAGGGCGTATGTTCTCAATCGTATGTACAAAAAAACAAGGACAACGTGAGTTGTTTTGAAAAAAACGAAAAATTAAATTTTTCTTAAAGCTAAGGACCAAAAAGTTATTAATGCAGAATATCTGTTCTCTGCCTTTTTACTGGAGCACAACCTGCCACTGAATGCGTAGGATCACACTGCAGCTTTATTTAGAAAAATGTTTCCCAATAGTGGAATCACTAAGAAATACTCAAGGACCAAAACAGGTGCAATTGTTAAAGAAATGGGTTTGAAAAATAAATCTGCAGTTATTGATTGCATTAAAACAGCTCTGTTCTGCCTCTACAGAATAAAGCAATAATACCGATTCAAAACTGTATCGAATTGTTTCTTTTTTTAATCCAGAGTCTTCAGAAATTTAGCGCAGTTTACTTTCTGCCCCCTCTTTAGAAGGACATTAGACTGGCTTTAATATAGCACAGCTAATTATTAAAACTTTAAAAGAAAATGCAGTCCCTCTGGATAATTGCTTAGCACTTGGTGCCGATAATGCACCAGTAATGGTAGGCTTAGAAGACTGGTGTTGCAGGCATCTTAAGAAAGGAAAATTCAGATTTGCAGATTATGAGGTGCACCTCTCACCTCTTAAATTTAGCAGCTGGCTTTTTTACCAATGAATGTGAATGAACACATTGTTGATATTTATTATCTTGAAAGGAGGGGAAAATTGAAAAAGTTTCAACAGCTGCATAATACTGAAATGAGAAAAATTTTGAAATATGTGTGTACACGTTGGCTGTCTTTAAAGAAATGCTTATCTAGAATCCTCAATTAGTGGAACCTTTTTGCATTTTTTAAAGAAGTATGTGCTTCGAGAGTTAAGATAAAAGGCTCTATTGAAAGTTATAAAATACCTAAAGTAAATGGAGGTGTAGTTACTACTTACATTGTTAAAAATAGGCACCATTCAGCAATTCAACTGGCAGTTCTCAAAATAATACTGCAAAATATAAGCGTAAAGCTGATATAAATTTCTCTCAAAATAAAAAAATTGCTCAACACATGAAACATTTTCCCGATTACTGTAAGTTTAACTAAGCACGAATCTGCCACTGTTCATAACATTCTGAATGCGAAAGACATTTGGTAACATAATGATGCAAAAGTTTTACTAAGGACATTTCTCACATTATAAGTGCCACTGCTGTTTGAATGAGCGTCATCACCATTAATGATACTACTAGTACCTTTTTTTTTCTTTATGAACTTTGATTAAATTAGATTTAAGATATTACTGCAGCTCCTGATTTTTAAAGTCCTAAATGTTTATCAATTCATTTATGTACAAAGTTAAATGTTTATCAATTAATTTATGTACAAAGTTAAAGAAAAATGTCCTTCCAAAACAGTCTTGTGATATTTGAAGTGAAATGTTGAGGCGATAATGGAAATGTTTAAAGGCAGCTGTATTTGCTAAGTATGCTTTTAGATAATTAAATAAGTCTACTTTGTTGAATGATTTGTTGTTATGGGTTGAGGGCTCAAAGCTGTTCCAAAACTTAAACCAGTCACTACTGTCTGCATAAAATGTGGCAATCAAAAGTTTTTGTAATTTAACTGGGAGTGACTTTTTAATTTTTGCCGAGTCACTGTCTAACTGAAATTATTGAAATATTTGTGTTAAAATAATGATTAAGTTCTTAAGCCTAAATTTCCATAATGTTATGTCTAGGTATGATTATGTATTTGCAGCCTTGTGCAGTCTATGTTTCCTGAATTCAGCAGATAACCTCTTAAGGTATTTTTTATTGCTAAGACACTTGATTATACATCATTGGCCCAACTCAAGGTTTTATGCTAAAAATTACAGGATAAACAAACCTGAATTCTTTAAATTCTAAAATTTTGCTGGGCTGTCCATCTGCTGGGGTCCGATTACATCTTAATGTCAGTAAGATGATGGGAGCTGTCCTCAATTTCATTTTATGAGTAGTAACCTATTTTAAAGTTTTGTTTTTGCTAGGTAGCATGAGATTTACTGCATGCTTCCGTCAGTTTTGGCTCATTGAAATTAAACTATATTTTGGTTCTGTGGCCTTGGCTACTAATGTTCAAAACTAAATTATGATTAGGAACAGCATGAATTATAAACAAATAGCTAAGTTTATTGTTTTTTATTTTCCAGCAATCGAAATGCGATGCTACTAGCAACGTTTGGAAACCAAAACCAAGCAATCATGAATCAGAACTAGTTGCCATTCAGCATAAAAGAAATATGAATATTAACAAAATATTAAAGTTAATTTTATAAAACAAACACATGAACAAATATATGAAATAAAAAATAATTATTTCTCATGCAATAACTGGGCCACTACACTACTCCCCCACCAGTAACTAAGTTACGTTACGAAGATGGAGAAATAGGTAGTAACTAGTATTGCAGTGTTAACCACTATCAAAATAATTTAGTCAGTCCTTGAATCTAACAGGTAAACGTATAGTTCTGCCTGTGCGAGAAGGTTTTTGATTCACATCCGAATTTGAGTCCGGTCTCTGCAAATTACTGTAGTCAGGTTGTATCAACTGAGAATTTTCCTCAGCTAAAATATATGCTGGTTTCAGGCGATCCAGGGATACATTAACATGTTTTCCTTTTGTGCTAATAGTAAAATATTTGTCCTTGCGATCAATAACAGGAAATGGTCCTTCATAAGGAGGTTCCAAAGGTTTTTTTTATCCGATCTATTCGCTGAAACACATGAGAACAAGTTTTTAAGTCTTTATGGACAAAATATCTGTTCAGATGAATTTTT